GTATGTATGTATGTATGTATGTATGTATGTATGTATGTATGTATGTAGCCCTACATTGCATGAATTAAATATTTACCATGTTAGAAAATAAGCCCAACTTTTATTACATGTAAATAAGATCATAAACCCACCTAAACTACAGTTAAATTTAACTGTAGAAGTAATCGCACTAAGACGATTAGTGTTTAGTAAAGTGGCTTAGCTATAATTTAGGCTGCAGCTCTTCTCATAAGTGTTTAGTCATTTCTAAAATGTTGATATTAGCATATCTCAATATAAGAAAAACCTGAGAATACCTCAGATGTTTGTTAAATGTTTGAGCATTTTTATTCAGGTCCTGTAACAATATTGTTTAAAAGCTGTACACGAGCTCCAAGTAAACGGCTATTTACCCCCAACTCCAAAGGCCCTATTCAGGGCCACACGCTTCAATCTGAGAGCCGAGGTTATTCCTAAAGTCTGCCCAGTTGCATTTGTCTTTTCTGAATTATATTTGGTTTACATTAATTATTATAGATACTATATGTGTGTATATATTGCTCCCCTATGATGTGAATAATTACCACGTTGCTAAACAAGCCCAACTAAAAATAAATGACAAACATAAACCACCTACAGTTAAACTTGAAATTTAAGTTGGGGGGGGACTAGAAGTAAATGCACCAAGATGATTGGATCCTAATTTAGGATTAGTGTTTAGTAAAGTGCTTTGGCAATAATTTAGGCTGCAGCTCTTCCCATAAAAGTGCTTAGTGACTTGTAAAATTATGATATTCACATATTTTACTTTAAGAAAAACCTGAGAATACCTCAGATGTTTATGTTAAATGTTTGAAGCGTTTCTGTTCAGACTATGTAACAATACTGTGTGTAAAATCAAAGTAAAATTTTTTGTTTTTTTCTTAATGGCAAAATGTGAACATGGGGTCAAATTAAAAGTAAATTCTTACAACAGAAGATCTTCCAATTGTACTTAAGATAAAGGACAATAAAATAAATTGAACACAAGTTGTAAATGTTTCCTTACAAGGTTAAATAATTATGGGCA